ACATTTACCTGTCCTTGAGCCTGTGTTGGTTCCAATACAATTTCGGCTCCCTGGGCACTAGACAGAAGGTCGTAACGTCCTAATTCTTTTGAGTAGAAGACCACCATACGATAAAAATATGCTGCACAAACGTATCATCTCAATGATCAGCAAGGGCATTGCATTTTATACCTACAATAATATTCCGTGTTGACCTTCAGCTCAGTTGTAGCCGTACCTGCAAAAGTGGCACAGATTACCTCTCATAGCCGCGCCACAATAAAAGCTGTTGTCTTTTAGGCTTTGTTCCAGGCCAGCATCCGCTAATGCTGGCTTGCTTCTTGGCAAAGCAATATCTGGATCAACATCGATCGTAGACGGCCTTATTCAATCTGCAATATTGGCCACTATTGTTTCTGTGTTTCTCGGCTTAAGTACGGTAAATTGGGCTGATGTTTGAGATTAGGCTGTTTAAGTAAAGGTGTTTTATATCAGTTTGTTCAGTAACTAGCTTCTTGTGAACGTTTATGATCCTTGATACGGTCCGTATACGTTATGCGGGAAGAAATCCTTTTCGCTTTTTCTCCCGTGAAGGTTCGCGTAACGCATCGGGCTTTGTGACTCATGAAGATTCTGCTCGCGTGCGAAATACCTATTTGGCGTCTCCCTCGTTTTGCGGACTTCTGCCTTAGATTCCGGATATTTGTAAATTGACGATTGGATTTCTAAGTCAATTGCAATTCTCCTTTGAATCGTTTGGCCTTACACTAATGCTCCCTTCACGCCACTAGAATCCTCAGTCAAATAGGTTTGAAACAAATTCAGTTTTGATCAGTCTCTAAACTGTCTACTTTTCTTCAGTTTAGCTTTCCTTTTAGTTCTTTATTTGTGGTGTTACATTGCGTGTTGGTCCGCCGCTTTTTTCGAAGTTTTCCCTTTTCCAATATTGCGAGTTGGATTTGGTCTCCTTACTGTGTTTAGCTCTGCCGTTCTGCGCCGACTTCTCTTGCTTCTTTGCCGAAATCTTCTTCTGCCATATGGCAATCGGTGGGTTTCTTTTGAAGGTGACGTTCCTTGACTGCATTATCTTCAACTTGATTCAGACACGATAGCCCGAAGCTTGGTCATCGTAGCCGACGACAATGCTGCTTTCCGCCTCCGGGTTAAGCTTTTTTTAGTCGGGTAATAAACTAATGAATGGCGTAGGTTTTGTACCATAAATAATTTCTAATAGGGTCTAGTCCGTAGATTGGATAACGGTAGTCATATTCATGAGAGTGTGAACGCACATTACAACCTTACTCCATAATCACTGAAGTCGGTGGATATCTCTGACTATGGCATTAATGAGCTCAATCAAATCACGGTTCGCTTTTTAGGCTATTTCGATTACCCTTAATAATTCAGGCTTAGATATCAACAGTTCTACTCCTATGTCTGCGCACGGCGAACTTGGGCATTCTGGGATTCGGGGTTCTCATCAGACTGTAGACTCTTAATATGTTTACCTGTTTGTGCTTGGAATCATTTGAGGTAGCCTGCGTAGAATTACCTGCGGCTTCTCGCTCAGTAAATATGCGTGCTTGTATTTAAAGCATTCGTCAATGAAGTATGAATTTTCTCTTAGTCATAGAGTATCAATCTCACACTCATATGTATGTTTCCTTATTTCCTTAGGTCATGCCAAAGGAGGTTACAATGATATGCTGCTATGTGTATTTTCGATTGATGGAATGTGGTGCAGTCTTGTTCATAGTATACAAAGTCGATGTCTTCATGCTTCAAGAACTTCACGAGCTTCTGATTATCCATATAACAAAACATCTTGACAGTTGCAATCACGGCAGAGTTGTATTCCTTGTCACTTATGTCGTCTTTCGTGTCGTGGATAATTTTCCGTTGCGGTGAAGCTCAATCCGACCGTTACCCTTCGATAGAATGAACTTGCCTTAACCTACCTCGACTCCTTAATTTTTTTCAGTTAATTGAACGAATGAATGAAGCGTTCGAGGCATCTTAGTAACGTAAAAAGTTGTCTCCTACGCAGTTTACAGGGCCGTTGTTTGCCAAGTAGGGTTAGTGTAATAGTATCGAAAGCAAATGTTTAAAGTTTTTGCTTGACTCCTAGCTGCACTGGCCATGTTTGTCCTAGCTGTTGAGTGTAGAAACGGAGGCCAGCATCTCTATATCGCTGTTTTAAGAATCGCAGCACAGTACTTCGATATATTTTCATAGCCTTTTCATAGCGCGCTTGCTATTCAGATTTCAGTTGCTGTAACTTTTTTTTGTTAGAACGACCTATTGCCGTGTAAGCCATGTCGTTTGCACCATGTACAGGTTTAGTCTTGGCTGTCTGACGGTTTGTTTAAGGGCCAATTATCCTAGTCATGATTTTTCATCTCGGGTGGTTTTGTTCCCGTGTGCTTTGAAGAAAACTATTGGAAAATGTCCTTGATTATTATTTTCTTTGCGATAATGCCCGAGTGATTCGATGCTGATAACTATTTTTTTCTGCTTCATTTTATTTATTTTTTACTGTTTTCTTTGCGCGTCTGTGAGCTTTACACCATCGGCTGTTATAGGCGATGTTATATTGTGTTTGACTGCATCTTAAGCACCTTCCCGTTCCCGTAGTTCTAGCTCTATTGCGATCTTCGACGAAATATAGTTGTTCGCTAAAAATATAGTGCTTTCGAGTGCGTTCGTTGTTTCCGCTTGCGGCTGCTCTAAGGTCAAAGCCTTCCTTCGAGTTACGAATGGCTGATCTTCAGTTTACTAGATTACTTTTTCATACTGTTATTGGTTGTTGAACCCCATTAGCCGTGTTCAATGAAACCATGCTGATTTCTAATGTTATTTTTGTACATCATCGGACCGCCCGGCACATGCGTCACCGAACTTACTGGTTATCGGATTCCCACACCGCAGGGTCCTTCGTTTATTTCACTCTTGCACTGCTGGTCGTGCTTGATAAAGATTGTGGCCTACTAACTCGCTGATGAGTAGTGCAAACACGTTTGTTAAAGGTATAACAGATGCGAAGTTTATTGGATAATGTATGCTGAGATCGGATAAGGTTGCTGTAATCTTTTCTGGTCTATTTCAACATAAAGTTTAGGTCGCTTATATACGCAGCTTCTAAATCTGCCCCTTTGGCTGTGAGTCCTCCCCCCAGGTGGTTCAATCGGTACATCATGAGTGTACCTATGTAAAAGGAGCTTTATATATACATGATACTTTTGTTTAACTTACTAAGAGAGTAATTCAATTCAAATAGACTGTAAAAATAGACGTGAGTTTGGAGGTGTTACTGACCACTCAAGAAGAGCTCACTCAAATTCGCGTGTAGAAAACAGATCTATGATTTTATAGATATAGCAATATATATATATATATATAAGTATAGAAGTTATTTACAACTATCTTGGAAATGAGATTAACCTTGTGGGTCGGTTTATTGTTTAATGTCAACTACCACTTTTATAGGGAGAGTCTTGTAGTAATGCCCGGGCTTATACATATAAATGTAGTTGGAAGTTTGAACGGTTTTTCAAAGTTCAAAACGCACGTAGGGACTAGATACTTGATGGTTAGCTATCTGTTCACACACAGTTTATATGTCCGGCTGCTGTGACGAAGGTAAGTTAGCGCTGTGAGTCCAGCCGCCGACGGTGATATATTATAGAACAGAATGAAACAATTCAACGAAGTATACCGACAACTATTAACACAAAAATTCATTCGTCATTCAATAAAAAATCCTATTTAAAGCCATATCAATTTGATCAGCTCTATATCCATGTCCAGCCATGTGAGTATCGCAAAGGTCCGTTCACAAACTCGTAAATATTCAACCCACTGACATTTGTGTTCCACCGACATTATTTCCTCTTTGTCGAGCACCTGTTGCTAACCAAAATCAACCATCGTTAAACCTTTCCTTCAAGGTATGTTAACCGTACCCGTTCTCTTCAGCATGTTCCTCATGACGTCGCCATGTCACTGCTTCGAAGTCCTTGGAAAGGATGGCTTATTCGCACGCCCACTCACCGTCCGCGCCTGTTAAGCCGATTATAATAATAACACACTGATGGTAGTTAAGATCGTATTGCAAGCTGCTAGGACACATGTGGCGTTCTTATGGACTGCACGGAGCTCTTGAGTGGAAGAGGTTTCTGGGGGATTTTTACTTCGCATGCCCTCTCCTGGGTATAGCCTCATCGCCATCCGGACCATTTTCTTAGTTGGCTTTTCTTTATATGTTTGAAAGTATTGTAGTTGATTTGACGTTATTTTTGACAGGTTTTGTCGCTATGGGTATTAGTGATGTCGCGTGGAGTCCAGTTTCACTGCGGCGCTTCAAGATAACGGCCATGACGCTAATTAGCGTTGGTCCGCCCGAAACTTGCCTTCTTGGCTCCACGGGGGGTACGATGCAGATAAGTGGGTTAAAAGTAGTGATAATTGAGGTGAAGGTGCAATAATATCAAGCAATCTCTGGGAATCACCGCTTCGTGCGTATCTGCCACAATACGACCCTACGAGGTCTGACTCGGCTTGTGTACTAAATATCACAGTACGTATGTAACATGTGTTCGACCGCTCAATTGGTGCAAGGCTGCGGGATGACGGCCTGATCAAATATTCAAAGGGCTTTCCCGTCGAAGTGATTGCTGGAAAATTAAAAGCTTGGATTTCTGTCAACGCTGGAACAGTTATGGATAAAAGCCCATGGTTTTTCAGTGAAGGTCCTGCAAACCGGGTAGTATTTGATTGTAGAACACTGGAGATCGTCTACATCCGTTGATTTCAGGCTACGGCTTGCTTAGGCCAAACGGCTGGAAAAAGCCTGCTGTCCTACAACGTTGTAAAAATATACTTCCTAGAAAAATATTGTTTTTCATACCACGCCAAACCGTTTTTCCGTAAACGCAGTAGCCATGTCTTACTCAGTTTCCTTTTCAGTCTCTCCTAACATAGCCTGTTGATAGCCAACGATAATATGCATACACCGTTTTCAGGCAGATGGATTATTCATAGCCCGACCTACTCTAACCAAAGAGTTGTTATAAAGAAAGCGGAGCCCTTCCAAGGGTATAGCACCACGGTCCTCAAGGTTTCGCGAGCAATTTTAATTTGTTAACATCGGTGTTGAGCAGGGGCGAGGCCAAACAAAATCGCGAACATGGAGATGAATGTTATAATGCCAACATTTGTAGCTTATTGCAAACGGAAGTGATCCAAAGAAACATCCACCTGCGACTTGTCGGTAAAGTAGATAACAATATTTAGTACCTATTATATAACTATATATATATATATTATAAAAGTTTGATTCAGTAAATAAAATCGTACATCTACAACAGGTATCACCATCATTTGTTTATAAATCGTTTGTGTCTCTATAGGTAGAAAATGTGTGTAGAGAAATTTGGTTTCATACAGCATTATTCAATTTAAAATAGAAAGAGGAAATAATCGAGCAATCATTAGATGGTCCTAACAACTAACTGACTTAGTAGCTAGTAAGTGATTGGCATGTCCGATGCTATATATAAACACTATTTATATCTCGTTGTGTATACGGTGTTCGGTGCCAGAAAAACTCAGCCAGTATAAATTCACATGCTTTGTTCTTATTGTTAATAGGAAACATTGCATGTTTCCGCTAATTTTATAGGAAAAAGGCAAGATCGGTCGCTAACCGGCGTCGATGGCCCGAATACTGGGACTCATTACTCCTCGCAGCGACACTCACAGAGAAAGACCGGGCTTTTCAGTAGCACTAAGCATCTACAATGAGTCATTTCATAGATGTTATTGTTGTCGCCATCCGCTACCAGTAGAGTTCGCCCATTGTGCTGACGTGATCGCAGATCGGCGCGGCGTCCAGCCTTTTGGCCTCGTTTTAAACTAGCGCGTTCAGGGAACGTCCTGCCATCCATAGGACAACGGCTAGTTGCCTATCGGATTCAGGTAATTTATACAAGGCAGTCCACGGCTCTTCTACAACGAGATTAGATGGGGCGATAAAACAAAGTACATGGGGCGTTCAGTGTCCGGCAATTCATGTGGTAGTAGCTATTAAACAAAAGTACTCGACACATTGTGACCCTTATTGACAACAACGGCGAAGAAATCCACTATGTAAAACGGACATTGTTGCCTAAGGAATATGGAGTTGTGATACGAAGCCAATACGGTACAATTAATTTTTGTTAGTTAATAACTAAAAAAAATTAGCTCGCGTATTTGGGCACCGATGTCTAAATGTTTGTTGAGCAATTGCTTAGTTTCATCATTGCACAGGTAGATTTGATGATCTTTTCTGAGCAAATGTCCATGCTTAAAGGGTCACAAGGTAATTGAAGCACAACGGCATTTCTCCATCCTAATTAATATTGAAGATACGATGGTAGTAGAATCGTACTTTACAGAGGTTTACCCCGAACGACACACCCTTCATAGGTTTGTCTGCGAGCTAAACAACATCTCAATAAGTAGGTAGTAGCAAAATAGATATAATTGCATACAATATGTGCCCAAGAAATTACATCTTCACCTAGAACAGTAAACAATAATTCTTTCCTGTAACCCACTAATTGACAATTGGGTAGTTTCTGACCTAATCTAGCTACCACGACCTCAATTGTATCCCATATTTCATTACGTCTCGATCCACCTTTCTAGGCCATCCTTTACGGAGCAGACCTATTCAGCCATGCGATTCAACTCTAAAAATAAGCCGAATGCCTATTTTGATGTTCGACTTCCTTTCGGACCCTGCTTGATTCTTCCATTAGATAGGCTCTTAGCGCTACTAAGGACGTCTATTGACCAGCGCTATTGATAGTGTCTAGAATTTAGACCGCTTCGGCCATAGTTGTTTGTCGCGCAATCATTGTATACAAAGGACGTGTTGAGTGCGCATTATTCTAAGTGCTCAGATCATAGATGATCTTGACGAAAACAGTTAGAGCTGTCATGGCCAGCAAATCGCGATAAATGTTTAGTAGTTCGGATACATACTTTGTATCGCAGCAAACACAATCAGACGAACGTACTGAACAGACGGCTGTTTTTTTTTTTTTTTTTTTTTTTCGTACTTTTCTTAGTTTGAATAGAGTAGGTACAAATAAACATTTGCGTATGTATGATGCATACATATAGATCTAAGCTGGTACTGGAACTAGTCGAATGTGTGTACTTCCGTTTGCTTCGATCCATCCTAGTAGCTGTTAACGGTAAACTTAAATTATACATTACACTTATTGGGGCGCATGATTCTATCACTAGAATGGATTGTACATAGTTAATAGATTAAATAAAATAAGTCATTAAATTTATTTTTTGCGGAGGAATCTTATATCTTAATAGAAGCTAAAGTAACTTATGCTTTATAGATTTTACGGAACTTATTAAGTTTTCGAATTTACCTAGCATTACGATGTTTAACACAATCGCGTATCCATTCAAACTGAAGGACTTTCCTTAACGCCAGGTTTCTCTAACTGTGGTGCATTATTTGTTTCACGGTTTTCAGGTAAGCGTCGTCACGACAAAATGTTACACTGAACCTTCGCTCCCTACGCACTTTGCTAGTAAAATTCTATTAGCATGGCTGGGATACTTATAAAGTTTATAAACACTGTTTTAGGTGTTTTAGGTACATATACTTCACCGCTAGAATCATTTTCGCGTTATCAACGGCCCCGCCTAGTACCAACTCTGCAGCTAGCAGCTATTTACTAAGTTCGTAACAAACATTGGCGCACCTTATAATTTACTTGTGCAGAACGCGGATGTGCCAATGATATTTTTGGCATGTTTTGTTCGTCCTGTTACGATAGATCACAAGTGGCATTCCTAGTGGCAGATCACGTCCTTGTGGTAATCTGCCACTGACAATGGGTGCTTCTATTGCAAAAAGCCCGAACTCTTCCAGCGGTTTCGACTGTATAGGCAGTCCATTGAAATATACTTCTATATGCTGCTATTACTAAAATCATTACTAACCAGCGGCGACGGGGACGTTGGATGGGCCATGATTACGTAGCCCTAATGCCAAGTGTGAGGGTATTTATCTCAAGTTCGTTATGTCATGCGGTTTATTTCAATGTGGTCTACAGGTTGAAAGAATCACATGAAACATACAGCCTCTGCCAGTGTTTGGCAGTATTCTATTAGGTCCTAGGCATGCTTTTTCAGCCGGCGGGCCAAAAAATCACTTTTTCGGTACGCTGCCCAGCCCAACATTGGTCGCCAGATTTAAAAATTTACGATATACAGACAGTGGTAAGCAGCTGCTTGTGGAACGGAAAACGACTGGATGAAAATGCTGTTGAGATGTAATAGACAGTAGCTGTTCCAGTAGCATTGATTAGAAAGTCAATTTAGTTATTTATGCTCCCTAGCAGCCCGCAGCTTGAGCTGTCAAAGTACCAGTCAAGCTTTTCTCATTCGCAGTCGCTCTTATGGGCTGCGTCGCCACTGGTGCCAGATAACAACGTCAGTTATGTGACGTAACCCCCGTATAGACTCACATGCGTCTTGTATGGTAACAAGGACTCAATAGTAGACGAAAAATTCCACTGCTAAAAGCACTACATCTACACTCTGGTGCATTGGTATGGTCTGCATAATGTGATAGGTACAAAACTTCAAAGGTATCGGGCGTTTAAAATGAAGGAAGAATCTTTCTAGCGAATTTAACCGCAAGATCAGTTAAGCTGGTTCAAATGTACTGCAATCAATGTAGTTGGAAAGCTAGAATACGTCCAGCTTATTTTTACATACGCCCGACCTTTTTAGAGTCATAAAAGACCTCAATATGTGTATAAGTAGATCAAAAAGATGTGATTCTTCACCCACGGCTAGCGTGACGACAGACTTGTAGAATTTCGCCTCGGCGACACAAGCACACGAATAGGCAAACTGAGCTTTTGCTATCTGAATTGCGTTGTAATTCACCCTCATGCTATTTAACTCCTACAGGCGCGCCATTTGGGGCAACTGGGGTTCCGTCGATTTCCGTCAAACGCAACGAACATCAACGAGACCATCACAATAGTAGGCATTCTCCTGTCAGGTCATCTTATCGCCTTTATATTTGTCGCTTACCGTATACGGCGAATAGACAAGTTGGATAAGCACGTCCACCTCTTTCAGCTAACACCCGAAGCGAAAGCTACTATTAAGCTCTCTTTCTTGATATATAGTTTTGTTTGTCTCCCAGGCGCTTTATATCTATCTTACTCACCCCTGCTAGAAGCTTTCTCTTTTTCTAAGTGACCCATTTGGAAATATCTAATTTTTGTCCAATTTTTTTGCCACGCCTCTGGCTTCTTCTTAAGCTTCTCTTGGGTTCTATTCGAAAACACGTTTTTGTCTTTCTCCTTTTTTACGTCCAATACTTAAGCCGCTAGGCAATACATGAGACAGCACGTTCCCTCCAGCACACAATAGCCAGTCCGGAGTTGAGCTTAAGTTATAACGTGTCATTAACTTTCGCGAGTAAACACGTGGGGATGCCCGTGTTTTGTTCTACCAAACAGGGTAAGCCCATTCGACGGACGCTTACGCACGCGTAGTATATACAACCTTGCGTACATTTTCACTTTCATTGCTCATTGCCCCGCTAATAAGCTGCACAGCCTAACTATAGGCTTGACCTTATAAGGGTGTTTTCGCCACAGAATTACGGGAGATACCAGTGCCACTCGGAGAAATTGCATCACGTAAGCGAGACAGCTGCATTGCAATAACATCACCAAGAAATTGCACCAATTGTAACAATAGCACCAAGAAAGGCCAAGGGAAACATTGGCATTGAAGGAGAGGAGACGGTCATCTTACTAAAGTCGAGCAGTTTTCGCCTGTTTTCCCTATGCTAGGTCACCGTTTCCCTATTCCTGTCGTTCACTATCACTTCGCTTGCATTCTGAAGCATTCTGGAAATCCTTTGCATCACCATCATAGACTCTTTCTTCGTCTTTCTCTCTGTGTGTAAGGCGCATAGAAGACATCGTAAAGTTTCCGTAAGCTTTGTCTTCTCTCGTTACGTTTGTTCGGTGTTCTGTTCTGTTATGTGGACGGAATCGAGCGATTTGGTTCAGTAATGCGCATTTCTTCTTCTCTGAACACAGCGGGTCCAGTAAGGCATGTTCTAAAGCCGGAAAAATGTATTGTCATATCACATAAATACAGTTCCTCGTGTCGTCTGCTAAGCGGCATGGCGTTTTGAGCATTTTTCCAAGTATAATGGCGATAAGTCGTGGTCCAGCCATGTGGAGAGTGAGCAGTTAAATTTTAAAAACGTTTTTAGCTAATAGATAACAAGAGACGATGCAATAACCTTCGAATAAATGAACAGTAGACGTTTTCAGATATATATATAGACATTAAAACTTCTCATGCTGCCCTGACCATAGGCATTTTAGATTCAGAGGGGAATTTAAGATAGAATCATCGTATTTTAATTTATTCGAGTCGTGTTTTTTTTGCATAAGCCTATGGGTGGGCTATATAGAAACATGCTAAAAACAACTATATCCTTACCTATTATGGAAAGTAAAATAAATTTATCGGGGCTTACCATAGACTTAAACCCAAAGCTCGCCGACGAATATGATTTTATTATCATATTATTCAAACCAAGCTGACAACTGGCATACGAGGTAAATGTCTAAACCTAAACACAGAACGTAACTAACAAAGCAAAGTTTTGCTATTTCGAACTTTATGGTTCACATTGTACCTCTCGTTATTAAAGTCATTCAACTAAGCAAAACAGCCGAAACAATATATGAAAACATAACGCTTGACAGGAAACAAACACCGACCGACTCCTTGATTACTGCTTTTCCCTATTTCATTTTTCATTGCCTTAAGAACAACCAATCTTGCCTATTATCCCGTTATTGTATTGGCCTTCTTTTATTCATTATACAGAACACAAGATTTCGCCGAGCGAGGCTAGGGGTTAAACAGCGGACTTTTGTATGCTCCATTCCTTCATAGTCCACTCGGTATCGCTTAGTACGTTTGTAGCTCAGGTGGGACTTTAACTGTTTTAGAGTAAACAGCAGAGCCTCGCTCGTCCTTTTTATGCTCAATCAACTGTTGCAACCTTCTGAAATTCTACAAGACGCTGAGAGTGCTTTCTTTATGGCTATCTATGAAATCCTCGTAATTCCTTCCTCTTGCCCATTGGCCTGCTAGAAATCTTGCAGCGTCTCTGATTCCTATAGACTCACATTGAAATCAATAGCTTCCATTATTTGTGTAGGTTGATTTTCTTCTTACAAAATGACCACGGTACTTTAATTCGTGGCTATTGGCTGATCTAGAAGCTTGGTTAGTTACGGCCTAGCTCCCTGAGCAATCAGTTAACAAGAACTTAATGGAAACCTTTAAAGCAAGATGCAGTCCGTTCTACAGCAAAGCGCGAGACTCCTATTCCAAAACCTCAAGAATGGTCTTGTTGGAGCAGGCCACTATGATTGGCCGAGTTAACAGAGTTAGTGAAAGAGTAAAAAGGACAACACCTCACGTCATTCCCAATTAGGTTCTTGTTGCTTCTGGTTCATCAGTATTTTCAACCTCTCTATCTTTTTAAAGTTATCATTCTATAGGCTAGCGGTTGTTTTCCAGGTTTATTTAGAACAGAGGTTTTTTCCAGGTGAGTTCTAGCTCGGACCCACCTCTATTTTAACCGGTTTATATTCGGCTTTTCAAGGGGACTACCATATTCGACTTTATCGCTCCTAAGGCTTTTATTTTCGGGTTACGTGTCGACTTACTTTAAATGGCCTTTTCTAGCTTTAATCCTGAGTGCCTGACGCCGGCTGCAAATATGGGTATGTAGTGTCCGAACGCGCCAACGTTCCTTGTCCTTTGCCCGGTTCTGCGTCTTGGTGGGTCATGGTTTCTCTATGCGTTGTGTGTCCACTCAGTTCGTTTTACTGGACTGATCAGGGTCGTTTCAGACACCGAAAAGAGAAGCAGGGTACGTATTCACTGCTCACTCCCTTTTATAGTGTTTTGTTTGCTGCTCTTACAGCCGCTCTACTTCTCTCATCAAAATGAGATTCGGGCTTGAGGAGGCAAGACCCAATAACAAAAATGACCACAGATGGCCAGAAACAAAAAGCCGTTGATAAATTATGCTTTCGTAACAATTGTTTCTACTAATGTAAGAAGATAAAAGGCACTAAAAAAAGTGAACGCTTTAGTCCAGTTATGCAACGAAAACTTTGGCCGCCCTGTGTTTTTGTTGTGTTTAAGAGATCAGGTTGGAACGTGGCTGAAATATTGTATCAGTGGATCTATGGTACGCAATGTAGGGCAAGGTAATAAAAAAAAAGCAAAATAAAGTGACGAAACGGCATATGCTTAACTTTTTTAGTTATGCAAAACATATCCCTTTTCTGTAAGTTTAGTAAAGCCCCTGGGTATTGCACTTGATGGGAGCTGTAGTAGATTTGGCAATTAGTAAGAGATAACAGCGTACAATTTGCCATTCATAGCCTTACTACACGCGGTATAGGATCATGTGCAGGAATTTATGTCGACGTGTAGAAAGTCTGCCATGGCTATTTCTAACGTATTTCCAGGTATTATTGAAAGGCCGAACCTTTGGCCTTTTTGCTATTGCTGTCTAAGCTTGTTAGATAGAGACATGCATGGTTTTAGGCATTAAACCGTTGATATAAGGACGCAAAACACAGTATAACAGAGAACTAGCGAGAGCTGAAACAGCCACAGTTAACACAGAATAAGTGAAGAAGGGTAAGCACTCTACCCTAATAATATCGAAGTAATGGATGAACAGCTTAAATAATGCGCATCTCTGCGACTTCATTTGTAGCTGATATCTCATAATAGTTCGCTGATTTCCCTCAATCAAGTGAAAAAAAATTTGCCAAAAGATTTTATGATTTTGACTTGAGCCATGTCAGCTTTGCTGGCCCCTTATGTCTATTTGTCTTCCCATTAGTTGATCAATCAGTACTTTGCCGCTAGCAGATAAAATGCTACAGACTTACTTACGCTAGCCTGCATTATTATTTGTTGGGTCATTGACTATTCACCGTTTCGTATTCATGTCCCCTAGTCGTGTTCTCAATACGTTACCAGGATGTATTCCTTGGCATGAAAGATGTGTGGATAGACTTTTTCTTGATTTACTTTATATTAACAGGACGTACTCGAAGCTTTAAGTATGTTAAACAATAGGCTATGCTAGCATTTATGCACTAGGCCAACTACCAATGTGAAGGGTAGTACAGTTTGGGTACTCAAAATAGCCCTTGCCCGTTCTGATAATGATGCTTCTTCAGGAAAAAGAATAAACATATTAAGGCAGTGACATATGCAAGGGCTATACTATCAGATCGAAGCCATGTTCTTTCACTAAATATTTTTAATGTATTGCATTTCAGGACATATCGCATTTGAGCTTTCAGTTTTCTTATCTTTTGTTGCGAGGAGTGTTCCTTGACATATCGCTACAATGGAGGGTCATATAGTAATTTCCTTTTCCCTGATTGGATTGGATATGGCCATGGCATCATTTTCTGTAATAAAGTCGCTATCAGCTTAGTACTAATGCCGTATAACCTGCATGTCAACTAACAACGGGCTGCATGCGGACATTGCGAATCTAAAAGCGTGACGTTCGGGCAGGCACTCTAAACAAACGTAACGCCCTAATAGTCGTCGACACCGATCCCTGTTTGCCCGCGGGCTCGCTGGTGAAAAAGGTAAAGCATCCGAAACGCTACTACGGTCTGTGTGCATCGCGAAAGCCACTATGTTCTTGAAAGATCTTGCGTCTAAAGACGAATAGAGAGACGCGATCCACTGGAGTAAATTTCTGTCGGGACCCAAATTCCTTATTATCCAAGCGTTGGTGAAACGGGCGACGGATGAACTGAGACGCCAGCAAATGACATATATGACCATGACACGTCCTTTCAGTTTGCTGCGGTAACTGGGTAACGCTGACAAGTGGCTTTGTCCAGTCTATTAAGGTCAGCAACAAAAAAAGAGAACATTTCTCTGCGCAATTGTGTGTCAAATAGGAAGTAGGCAGGAAGGTCTTTTCAGTATTCTGGTACGAAGTTTTCTTTGTCCAACATAGGGGTAAAAAGAAAGCAGGTCTTCCAATCGTTTTAAAAGCAACTTACGTACTATGAACTTCATCAAAACAATAGCTTTCCTGTTACTTGGCCCTCCGAATCTCATTGAGCTGCGCATATCCCCTTCAGTTTGCCCCTTTTAATCCAAAATAATCAAACATAACGTTTATATATATATATGCATTTATGCGGAAAAATGTACAGGTGCAGTTCGGGCCAAAGTAGGAGGTTAATGGTTGGCTCGAAGGAGACTGGTTTCTACTCGTCACCTCCGAGTTCTGAGTGGGGAAGCCAACACAATAGGAGTGTCTTTTCCATTCTTTCTTTGATCTTTTCCATTTGGTCTATGCTACCTTCTTCAAAAAGGACAGCGAATCAGTGGGAGATTATGAAGCCGCGAACATATCTCGAAGTCTCAAATCCTAACGTGATCAATTCGACGTTGTCCTTTATGGGGTTCAGTAGAAATGCGGAAACAAGGGCTTCCAGTAGGCACCATAGTAAAAAGGACGCTGTAAGTCCACGATGTAAGGAGGAATAGAACAGGTCCAACATTTCTATGTAGAAGTTAAAGGTTAACGAGGGCGTCCTATCGCTGACTCGTCATTTACCACTTACACGGATAGAACTGGAGAGGTATAAAGATCGTTATATATAATTAACTATCTGAACTTATGAGTATACGCGTTATATGCCCACATCTACTTCTCCTAGTCGTCTCTCAGTTTCAACTTATATATCTACCATAAATAGTAGTATTCCAAAAACAACAACATACCATCAAAAAAATAATTGTAATTTCATGCTTCGTTGCGTCTATCTCTAACGTATTTAATATGTCCAATGCAAAAAATACCAACGGTATCTAAGCACTCTGAGAAAATGAATCAGGTATTGTCTTATATCAACTTTTTTTATAAACACTATTGCACGAATTGGCTAGATGAAAACGTAATACATTCAAATCGTAGATTTGAAGATTTCTGTCCAAGTTCAGATTTTTCCCCTAATGTATTTGTAACAAAGCGGAATTTAGTAATAATGAATAAAATGATTCAGTGTGTGTGTCAGATTTAGGTGCAACTTAAAGTTTGAGATACGTTCATCTTCAACAAAGTTTACTTTCAGACCAAGTTAAAGTTTCGTTTATGGAAATCATCTAACAAGAAGTTCTCAGCCATCCTATGTGATGTAAAAATAGTACAGCTACGGACAGAAATACGCACACTGCGGGAGCTGACGTTGAAAATAGACGGATTGTCAAACAAGCCATACACTCTCGAGTTATCGGCATATCATTCATCGAAACTCTTTTGACTCGATAAATTTGCTGTTACATGAGTTATGAGCACGTCGGCTATTTCCCGTTGACCGTATAACGATATACACATATGAAAGCAACAGGCCTACGTACGCCTATATAAATGCGGTTAAAGCTTGAATCATCGTTTCACTAACGTCCGTAACTCTACTCTCAGCCATTAAACTTCCGAACCGAAAGCATGAATCACATCGTGATACCCATCCATTATTCGATTTGCCTATTTAGCCATTTTGCGTCATTAGTCTTCGCGAATAATGCTGCGTCATCTGCTAACCCATAATCGTTCCCGCTCAGGACTCGGAACGCTCAGAGAGATAGGATGTGTTAGGGAAAGAGAAAGTAGTCCTATCCTGCTTCTACCTGCGGCTCAGAGCCTTTCCCAGTTAGCTCAGGTATGGAAAGCTTTTCGAGCCTCAGCTGCTTTGCTTGCTGAATTGCATTTGACAAATGAATGAATTCCCGCCCCTGTAGCCCTGCTAAAGCCCTACTTGATTAATGGCCAGAACTCATCTCCTCATCTGACTTCTTGCCGGATCCAACAAAATTGCCAGTAACCTGTCTTTAACCTGCACGAGAGCAATATCTGACCCTTGACATGACCCTCTGACAAGTTGGCGGTTTGTGGCCCAGTCGGTGGTAAAACTAAAACGAACTACTGAATTCTCAGTGGTGTAAGGTAAAAACCCAAGGTAGAGCTGCATAGGAAAGCCTGCTTACGAAGAAGAATGAAGCGTTTCTTAAACACTTGGCTCCGACGGATGCTTCACCTCACTGCCTTTAGTCCGTGGCAAAGAAGGGGTCTCGAAACGGCTTCGCCACCAGAAGTAAGTTATATGTCAGTGACTATCTACCTGATAAACGGGAACTGCCTCTTATAGAAAAAATGCCCAAATTGACCCTAATGCTAGTCATATCCTGGCAGTAATAAGCAGTGATCCCAGGCCAAAACGTGAAGACATGAAAAAGATTAAGAAGCATGCTTCAATAGATGACTTTCTCGGCATCCTTCCTATAGCTAAATGAGTATATAGTAGTATTAAAATGAATTAACTAGTTGTTAGAAGCATGTTTGTGCGTATCTGAGGGCTATATCATTGAAGGGCATCGTCCACGTTGTAGACCGCGCATATCAGTTAATAATGATAAAAGCATGGCAGGGCAAGCAAATAAGAGATAGCGCTAATGGGAAAGATCGCAATAGTTTTTATAGCTTGACCAGAGGGCGCAGTGATGTGTGAACCTTGAAAAAGAACATAGACAGCGTAAAGAAAAAAGCGTATGTATTAGAAAATCACACATTGTACCAATATAAAATGTTCCAGTAACTTGTTCATATACATCGAGTTGCTCCTAACTAATCCAGAACAGTTGTCTGCTTTACGCTATGGTGCTATGTTGTGATTTTACCCATGTAGTTTTACATGGCACACGAGCCAAGCACTCATTAGCGATTAGGAAGTTCACTTGAAGCTCCTTTTTGACGTCTGAAGAACTACCTCCACCAAATATTTTTTAGCAATACTCGGTTTTATATCCGCTTTGCCAGAGTGCCTTTCTCCTGACCGCTCAGAGTATTCAGTGATGCGCCAGGTTCACCTGAACGTAAGCTTTCCTAGTTGCGACGCACTGTTCCCTTCGCATCCGTAACCTGTATTTGTTTTGCGCTCTGCCATCTATTGCGTTGTGATCTGCCAGATTTTTCCATGGAACAATTTGACCATAAGTAATGGATATTCTAGTCAAACATGTTTTTTCTATCACCGAATCATCCAATAATGTCTTTCAAATTCAAGCACCAACAGCAGCTTTAACAGTAGAGCTGCCCGCAATAGTGATTCTACAGGGCGTAAGCATGATACCGACTAATTATAAAAAAATAAAATAAAAATAACCAAACAATAAATCATTACTTGACAGTTCAAAATAGTCTGTCGGCAGACCACCTACCTGGCTTTGCTCCTTGAAGCAAAACTCTGTTGCCTCTGAATTTTTGTCCCTGATCACAAATGCCATTTCTTCCTTGGTGGTAATGAAGGCTTGCCTCGTGTTTCCTTAGCTACAAAAATCGATCTGGTGCTCATGGATTTCGATGGTGCCAAGGCGAAGGTAAAACTCACTTACTATATGCCTGCTTTTCTCCGGTAACCTTACACAATATGAGCTTTAAGCTATGTATGTAATAATGAAATCGATATATTTTTTCGACAGACATTTCTGCAAGCGTGGGCAATATTGCGTGCAGACAGTTAGAATTTAGATCAAGATAAAGTGTATTTAACATATGTATGGTTAATGGCCTTTTAAAGTAGAACTCTAGAGATTTACAGCAGCCTTGGTAAGGGTAGATGAAATGATCCACTATGACACGAATAGACTTCTATTCTATTTAATATCTCAGTTTAACAGTAGAATACCAACTGACCGGCTTTGACAGAGGATCGCCGGGCAAATTTTACCGTGCAATCCTTCACAGTAACGTTGCCTACTACCATGGACTCGCAGCCTACAGTCCCGCAAGTTCGAGCATAAATTATCGTGCCACAACAGCAGAAACAAAAAGAATAAATGAACGATTGAAAATGAGAAGTGAAGACAAAAAGAGAGGAATATAGATCTCGGTGCTACGAGACGACCAGACAAATCAAATCAAGCTCGGCCGACAATGAGCCAAAATATGGCTCAGGCCATTATCACTATGCTATCGGAAACCGTCACTAAATCGAACTTGCTTTTTTATTTGCGCCCTGTCAATACGTAGCCTTGCAGAACGCCAGCTTGAAAGAGCTATCGAAAACGTTCCTGCTGAGGTCCGGAGCGTCCCAAACCCTATATGCTTTGTGCAGACTGAAGAACTGACAAGTAAAAAATCCGAGAGGCACGAATGGGACCAACAAGCAATGTACATGCGTTTTGTTTCCTCTGAACCCTTGTTTTGTACCTTCTGCCTATGTTGGCCTCCAGAACAAGCAAATAACGCAGAGGCGACGCTAGGAATGACGACAGCAGTAGCTGCATTAAATATTTACATGCGGGACGAGTCCTCTATTCTGTGAGCTATTGCGCAGACACCCTAAACCACAGAAGCGGGACAAAAAGGTTCGTTTCATATCAAGACGCCTTCTTTCGACGACAATTCTATCTTGTGCTCGCTCTCGCCTTTTTGTATGTGAATGAGCTGGTGGCTCAGGGGACCTTATGCCGGTACGTTATGGGAACATAGGGCACGGCATCCATCTGAACAGTAGGCTAGATTTTCAGCGGATACTTTACAGGGTCTTGCTGCTGAGCTCCGATCAAAAATGGCTTTTGCAGGAACTCGCTGGCGGGACAGGTAACTGTGTATCTTGTGGGCTGTTCGTACTGTCGCGGTAATAAGTGGGTCACAGACAATTCGGTGCAGAGTCCTGCGTCCTTGCCTCGCGCTAAACAGCTCTAAACTCTAAAACTACAAAGCCTTCTCTTTTTTATGGAGTTTGCCTCTTTAGGCCGAGCTTCCGTCTTTTTTCTCGTCCTCCTTTCAGTGAGTGTCATTTAGGGTTTGGCAAATCTGTCATCGCGTTATAAGAAACACGACTTTGACCGGTGACGGCTGCTCTCTTGCAGCCTTCGAAAAAAACAAGGTAATTCGAAGGCCTCAACTTTATCCCGTCAAATTGCATTTTCTTCCCCCGCTGCCGCAGCGGTAGCTGGTCCAAGAACGCATGGGAATTTTCGAGCTTATCCGTCAACTATTTTTTACCGCTGTTTTCTGTCTATTCGTCTACTTAAAAGGGAAGAATCAAGTTTGCACAGTGCTGTAATTTATCAATGTGTACCGTCTCTTCGTTTGTTTCGTTTTATTTGTATATGGCTCTAAATTTCGTTTCAATTAAATGTATCCATTCACATGTACTACCATGTCTGATTACGGTTTGCTTTTTGATTCAGTGCAATGAGTTCTTTCAAAAATACAAAAACATAAGATATGTACACGTACTGCCTAGCGCCGGCTAGTTGTGATCAATAAAACCAGCAACGTATATACATATGTACATAAAATAGGAGAAAAGAAAGTGAATGCAATTTGTTTCAAATGACGACTGCAGCATCTATTGATAGAATCGTTGAGTAGAGTCGCTTAATCAGATTAAAACACTAATGTCGTCACCTGTGTGACCTTTTCTACATCTGCCTAAAACTAGGCCTCAGAGTCTACTCCGGCTATATTACCCTTTGATTAAATTGAGCTTTGTCTGGGAAAGGCCAAGCGGTGTATGCATGCTAGTGTTTACGCGTAAATGCAAACAGATATAGGGGTGTCCTTTTGGCTCCATATTAAAATGTATCGCTACGATCTGACGTTCTCTTTTCCAATCTCTCTCTGCTCTTAAACGCCTTTCCTGATACAGAAAATTCTGCTGGATAGACCTTCGCAGCGGTACAATGGTTTTTAGTCGAGTACATAGGCCATCGTTAACTTGTGGATAATGTTGCTGCATAGCACGATCAGACTCGATTAAGGGAATAATCTATTAATGTAACGGAGATAACATCAACACGGTAGTTAGATTTACGACAAGATAAAATCCCTGTAAAAAAATGTTAACCTAGCTTTGTTGCTTGGGGCATGCGGTTTAGGAGTACGCGTTAGGTTCAGCTATGAATAATGCACTTGAAATTTACTATTTTCTACATTTAAAACGAACATGTCTATTGAAGAGTTCGCATGACAAGACTAGCCGACAAATATTTGGAATTATTATTCTGTACATATAGTCCTTAAAAAAAGACCCATTAACGGATGTCAAGAAGACTTTACGTTTTGAAGACTAAATCGTATGTACAAATAACAAACGTTTACGTCAAATGCCGTCTAGAAACATGCAAATATGTTTCCTAAAATGTAAAACGTTTTCTTATCGAATTTAACACTACTACCCTAGCATTTCAAATGATGTAGTTGTGTTTTCTTCACTCGTCAATGCTTCTGATCACGTTACTTTATAGTGCCATTATTCTCTTTATGTGTCACCTGCCTTCAGTAGCTTACCCAGTACCAACGAATAAATTTTTGTCAATAGAACCCGTTCCGACGTTGTTGCAGCATATCTCTGTGGATGGCAAGACCCAGCACGACAACTATGAACTGCATAGTGATTTGTACTGAAAAATCTAGAGGTCAATATATTTGTTTCTAGGACATTACCGTGTGCGCTTCGCGGGAGTCTCGGCCTTTAGGAATTCCCTAATGCCATAACAATAACAATTTCAGCAGCGCTGTCAGAAATAAAAGCCAAGTCGATCGCTTCCTCAACTCAGAATCGCCCACATTTCAGCGCAGTTAAACCAAGTGAAGTGCCCCCATTTCGAACCGTATTGATGACATCCATTCGTAGCATGCCAAAGCGGTAAATTGTCGTGCGCTTGTTACCACCGCTCGGTTTTTCAGAAACCAATCCTTTCGAAAAGCTCAAGACCCCATCGCGAGCCCCGAGACGTGAAGAAAAAAAGCCTTTACACTTGTCATTCAAAGAAGGACAGCTTAAGGTCAAAGTGACGAAAGCATATCCAGTCGCATTCAGTCCATAACATATCTACACGCGTAAGTCTAACTGTCATTGAAGTGAAGAAAAAAAAAAAGTTTCGACATAGGCGATTAGACAAGGCATGTAAGCGCTTACCTTATAGAACATGAGACTTTAAAATTAAAAAACTACCTACGTGGCTTGCCACCTATATCGACTTAAATCTAGCGGTGCACTACGCACGAACAAAACCCCGGAAGAACCTGTTGACATGAAACGTGTTTGAGAACTACTATTTTTGGAAAAGCGTCCAGGAAGAC